ACCTTTAGGGTTTTGAGAAATCTAGACCTAATTTCCATGCATACTAGATCCTAGAATGGAAGAGTACTTAAAAAATATGGTTTTTACTAAACCTTGAGTTGAAAGTGGAATTCTAGAGTTTTATGAAACTTAGGCTTGAAAAAGTGAGTTTCTAGGTTGCTAAGGAACCTACACCTAACATTTAAGAATTTTAGGGTTTGAAAGACAATAAATCTAAGGTTTGCATAAAAGCAAACCTAGAAGGGCTTTATAAGGGTAGATAAGGATGCTCACCCCCATTCTAACAACCCCAAATATATAGAAGGTAGATCACCCACGCCTCTATATATCCAAATGCTATGCAAGCAATTATATGTGGCTATGCAAAGAAGGGTTAGAAAGTACCTCCTGGTACGAACTACTTGTTTATACCGTGTATTGACCTTTTATCTTTAGTCCTTCACTTTTCAATCTCTCTCTTTTTTCTGCATAATGAAGTGATTGCTAGCTCTAGGGTTGTGTATTCTATGACATAAGGGGGTATAGGGGTGTATTTATAGAGATATATGCTTGTTGGGCACGCATATTGCAAATTAGGAAAGTTCTGGGTGAATTCTCAGAATTAGAAATGGCAGAAGGGTCATTTTGGAAATTCAGCACCTATCACACAACCGGTGTGGTTGCACAAGGGTTGTGCAATACCAAGTGATGTCCCTGGAACAGTGTAGAATTTAAGGTTTTCTGTGTTTTTCTTTATTCCTCAAGTAATTCCATACTATTCTTTTCATAGCAATTAGACCATCCCACCCTTTATTCGGGGTATTGATTGATCAAATGCTCGGAGTGGGGTTACAATCCCATCCTTTAGTGCATTCCAAAGTTTTTGGACGCTCTGGACATAATGGCGCAATCTATTTTTCGATCGGATGGTAGAATTATTTGATTTCCCTTAATCGGAAAATGTAAGTACATGCCTGTAAGTTTTCTTATATGGCGAACATAATAACATTGGTTCCTATCCTTCTTACTGAAGGATTTTGAACCATAATAGTATCCTCTAAAAGGTTGGCAAAAATGGGATGTCTACATATAACATGTGAGGAAAGAAAATAAAATAAAGAGTAAATTAGAAAAAAAAAAATACTCTGTATAATACAAGTCAAAAGTTCCATACTTAAAGAAATGATATAAATATGTTAGATACAATAAACAAAAACAGATTGCATTCTTACAGAAAGGTATATGGTTTTTGATTTTTTTTTTTTTTTTCAGAATTGATGGGAGCTGACTGATTTGAGCTCAGACAATTTCTCTTTAGTACCAGCTAGTTCTGTTGTGAATTTAAAAGACTAACCAGTAAATCAGTGAGTCTCAATAACAGAAACATGGAAACCTGTTGCAAACCGACCCATTCACCAAACCATGGTTAGAAGTGTATGCTTGACTCAGTAGGTCTTCGTTTGTATTCTTTTAAATGAATTGATTCTTCATACTTGGTTGAGAAGATGTTATTTAATCTGGCATAATGAGTTAATCAGGCATATAATGAATTGGGGCCAAGGAATTGTATCACAACTGCTAAGTCTAGTGGTCACCAAGGGAACTCTCAAATTCCTTATAGGGAATGAACCCTTTTCATTTTTTTTTGATAAGTAAGGAGTGAACCCTTTTCATACCCCATAAGAGACAATATTATGGACTCCATAGAAGGATGAATTCCTGAGAAGAGCAAATGACTTTTCGAGTGGTTGATAAACTTGATATGGAGTCCAGAAAGAGAGGAAAAGTGGTCTAGGGAAGCCTTGAGTGTTTGGATTGAGTTAAGGCTACTATGGAAAATTAAAAGGAGGTCATCAACTAATATTAGATGAGAAATTGAAATTTTTATGCACCTCTAATGGAAGGCAGGATATATTGGCTAGAATGTTATTGTTTAAATTAGAAGAGAAGACTTCTGGAAAGGGGAACAAGCGGTCTCCTTGCCTAAGACCCTTGACCTCTTTGGAAACCCCATGAAGCTCATCATTCACTGAGATAATGAATGAGGTAGACGTGATACATTTCCTAACCCAAGTAATGAATTTTGGGAGAAAACTAAGCAAGTGAAGGGAATTTGGAGTCAATAAGAAATTCCAAGAGACTTAAGTCAAAATCTCCTCAAGTCTATTATCATTGAATATCTACGTGATTTGGATTGTTTGTGATACCCATGAAAAAGTTCTTGTGCAAGGATGATGGTATTTTCAATATTTCTTCCTCTTACGAAGGCTGAGTTGATTTCCTTAAGTAGCTTACCACCATGAAAAATTTCTTGAATGATTCGAGTCATGTCTAGGCTTATGATGGGCCACGCCCTTTTGAAGAAAAGGGTTCCAGGAGCTTTATCACTGTGAAGTGAAAACATGCATTGTTTGATCTCAATATCAGAGGGAATGGAAGAAAGAGATGGAACTGAATGAAGAACAATTGGTGTGAGAAAGCTAATTCCAAGGTATGATAGGGGTTCCTACCTATCAAGATTTGGAAGCGAGTGAGAATTTCTAGCTTTGGTTGCATCCTCACTAGATGTTCATCAGAAGTTGTAGTAATACTTATAATTTTGTTCCTGTTATTCCGGAAAGTGACTTACGAAATTTCAACCAGGTAATCATAGATTTTTGCTTCTAAGTTTCCTCTGCATCACTGAGCTTGATGTTTGAGGATGGTAGCAATTTTTCCTTCATTCTTAGGCCTGGATCAGAAGGATTACTGTCCAATATCTTTTAACAGGAGCTGAGTTCTTCCTTAGCTAGCTGGACTTTAGCAGAGATGTGATTGTGGTCTTTGGAACATATGCTCTTGAGTGGTTGTTTCAATGCTTTTTGCTTAGACTTGAAACATGGTGACTCCACTCACTTGTGTTTGCCATACTTCCTCAAGGATAGGCATGAATTGATCATGGCTGCTCCAACAGTTGAAGAACATAGAGGGATCTTTCTTTTTGAAGTGGGATTGCCAAGAGTGATGATTATTGGACTTCATTAAACAGTCCTTGAGGTAGGAAATTACAATGAGACAATTATTGGACTTCATTAAACAGTCCTTGAGGTAGGAAATTACAATGAAAAAATGGAAATTAAGGATGAATTCCATTGGTCATTGATTAGGAGTATTTAGGAACCTGTCTAACTTCTTTGATATATTGGCCACTCTTGCTTCAAAGTGTAGTAGATGCCTGAAAACCTGAGGTCTTGCAGCCCTGAGTTCTCTCTCTAAGCAGGCTTTGAAATCTGAAATAGATTGGGTTGAACCACCAAATGTTTCATGGTTTGCCTTGATTGCATTGAAGTCTCCAGCTAGAATCCATGGAGATGAGGCAAAGAGTTGAGAATGGTGTGAAATGTCGAACCACGGAGATTTCCTTCCAGTAACAAAGTTAGCACCATATACAAATGACATGACAAATTGAGTTTTACATTTAAGAATGGTCACAAAGCAATGAGTTTGACATCTGTCATCCCAGGCCACAATGAAACTATCTGCAAAATTGCTATGCAATATTTTCTCCTATCTGGGTATGCTGCTTAATTTGTTTTAACAAATAAATGGTTCATTAAGCCTTTTTTAATTTTTATTTTTTTTTTGGAAGTTAAAGCATACAGACATAACAATTACCCTCAACCTCTCCATTTGGGGAAGAGAAGTTATACCATTGGACTAGAAGTCCTTTCTTTGGTAATAGAAATAGTTGGTCAATTAGATTCTTCTTTCATTATCTTTAATTCTCTTGTGCTTGATTTTCATGCTTAGATATCTTTTGTTGATTGGATAATATCATCCTCATTTTGAGGTGAAATATCACCAAAGATTGTTGCAACAAGTTTGTTATACCATGAATAATGCTGCCCCTGGTGATAGCGGCATCCCTAAGTTATATGTGTTTTCTACATTGCCGCCTGTTTGAAGAATAATCTGGTTTTCAATATTTACTCTCAGCTTACTTATTACGGAGTAATAAAATAGAAAGAGAGAGAGAGAAGAAGAGAGTGGGAAACTGATGTGATGGAAAACATAAACAGATAATGTTAACACATGATTAAATAACTTGAGAGCAAAACGAAAAAGAAAAATATAAATGTTAATTTGAAAGTGTGAATGAATATAAAAATGAATGAAATGGCGAAACATGAAATCATCTGTTATGGTGGGGTGGGGAGAGTATCAATTAGACAATAACTCCATATTTTGCTTCTCTTGCATTTCATTCCACTTTTAAAAAGGAAAAAAAAAAAAGGAGGTTGATCTCTCTCTGTCTGTTCTCTTGCTTTAAAAGGGACTTGTTGCTTAATTTGTATCATTTTCTTTGCCGAAAAGCAATTCCCTCTTGCATTTTTCAAGTCTTAGAAGGCAATGCACAGAGAGAGAGAGAGAGCCTTTGAAAAAAAAAAGAGAAAAAGGGATCCGGGTCAATAAAACTAGTTTTGTCATATCATTGGATCATTGAATATAATGGTATTACCATTCCTCCTCTAGGGAAGGCAAGGGTAATTCGAATCCCATAAGGGGCAATGTGGGGGTGTGTGTTGTTTTATGGTCTAACTAAGAAAATAAAAAATATAAATAAAACTAGTATTTTAAATGAAGACATACAAAATTTTATTGACAAAAAGAAATCACAAAGTTCCTGCAAAATCTCTATTTTAGTGCATGGAAGAAATCAAGTTTATGTATATTCTGCATTACAGTAAAAAGCAAAATTGTTTAGCATAATAATGTGTGAGCTGACACAATAGGATTCAAGATTTAGCACGTGATGAATATCCTTATAATTACCTCAATGCATCCTGGGGATTAAAACTGTTTGGCGTATGACTTCATTTTGTCAATTTATTATCTCTTCCTGTCTTTAATTAGAAGCTTTAACATAATGACACTTTCCAACAACTCATGCGTGAACTTAAGTTACTTGTACAACATTTTTGGAGTGAGACTTCTCTCTGTATATATATTTTGAACCTAATAAATAAGAGAACCAACTGCAGATTGATAATCCGAAGACAAACTTGTTTGTTGCTTTGCGTTGATCAGCTGATTATTAATTGAGCTGTTTTAATATTGGGAATGGAGAACGGAAAAAAGAGATTAGCTGTTTTAGTGGGATGCAATTATCCAAACAGCCCAAATGAGTTGCACGGATGCGTTAATGATGTTGTTGCCATGGGAGAGGTGCTTGTAAGGCGGTTTGGGTTTGAGTCAAGCCACATTGAGCTACTAACTGACGCACCTGGCTCGATGGTCATGCCCACCGGAGCAAACATTAAAAATGCTCTTGGTAAGATGGTTGATCAGGCTGCGCAGGGTGATGTCCTGTTCTTTCACTACAGCGGTCATGGAACACGGATTCCTTCTGTGAGGCCTGGCCATCTCTTTAGGCAAGATGAAGCAATAGTTCCTTGTGATTTCAATCTCATAACAGGTACTCAACCTTATGTCTGATCTCCTCATTAATTATCTGCCCAATTATGACATTAATTTTATTTATTTGTTTAAGTAATATTAATGTACTTTCTTCATTCTCTGCTTACAATAATAATTTAATATGTATGTGTATACTATTATTATACAATAATTAATTAATGATGCGAGTCTGAAGCAGTACTAGTACTATTCGGTCTTTGTGCTAGATGTGGACTTCAGGCAACTAGTAAACCAGCTGCCAAAGGGAGCAAGCTTCACAATCCTTTCGGATTCCTGCCACAGCGGTGGCCTCATCGAGAAAGAGAAAGAGCAAATTGGACCTTCTTCTTCTTATTCTTCTTCTTTAGTACTTAACACTAGTAGTAGTAGTAATACTACTACTGTAAGTACTAACTGTCGCAAGCCTAAAACCATCCCCTTGGAATGGATATTGCAACATGTTACATCATTGACAAGAATAAACACGTTGGACATTGGGACCCACTTGTTGGAGTTGTTTGGATCTGATGCCAGCCTTAGTTTCCGTTTGCCCATTGATCAGCAGGAGCATCTGTTTGTATTAATACCAAAAAAGGCAGACGTCGACAATGGAATTCTACTGAGTGGGTGCCAAGCAAATGAGACTTCGGCAGACATGAGTCCACCAATGGGCGGTGGAGGAAAGGCGTATGGAGCATTCAGTAATGCGGTTCAGATAGTGTTGAACCAGAATTTGGGTCGACCACCACCTCTCACTAATAGGCAAGTTGTGATTCTGGCCAGGAAGGTTTTACACGCGCAACACTTTGACCAACAACACCCTTGTCTCTACTCCAGCGATCACAACGCTGATGCAATTTTTTTGTGCCTACCACCATACACCTCAACTATGTAGACATACATATGCATCACTCATTAGTCACACTTTGATTAATTCCAGCACTGCCTTGGCTTTGATATACTGATATGTAATTCGATTGTGTATTGTAACAATGTTTAAAATAAAGTGGTTTGGGAAATTAAGGGTTATGCCGCGTGTGCAAATTAATAGTGCATGAGTCATGCATGATAATAATAAACTATTCGACTGTTGGTTTCATGTACAAAACTCCAAATGGGGATTTTCCCTATTACCAATCCACACTGTGAGTCTATGGTGGTACATTTTTTTTTTTTTTTCCTTTCTTTAAAACAATTTCAAGAACAAATTCCAAGGCCTATAACGACACAGATGCCAAACATTCCATTCGCAACCCTCTCCTAGCTTCAAGAGGAAAGCAAAATATCAATATCACCAATAGGCATTGTTGCCCTAGCAACTGATGGCCTCAGCCATATAGCTTCTTGATATTCCCCTCTAACAATACACTGCTATAGCCTATAACCCCAATTAATGAGCATCTTCAAAGCTTCCCTTGGAACTAGAATTTCAGCCAGCCTATCACTACTAACATCATGATATATATATCAGAGGATAGAAGCTACTTTGATAGTTTTCCTCTACTTTTCCTCTTCCTCAGCACCAATCGGATGCATGAAGATCCAATTGTGTAATATCCTATGTTTTATTAGGCCTTTTAATCGTGTTTACTGACTCTTAATCGTGTTTAGTGATTCTTAATCAGGTTTAGTGATTCTTAATCGTGCTTAGTAACTCTTAATTGTGCTTAGTGAGTTAATTGCTTTTATTAAGGCATTTGTGACAAAATTGCCTTAATTGAAAATGTTACCTACATACATCATATATTCTATGAAGCATCCCCAACCATATACATCTGACACTCAAACCAAGACAAAGAAAAAGATCTTAATGATATAAGGTATCATTTTCTCAGAGATAAAATACAAAAATGTCTTCTTGATATCACTTATTTGGCCACTGGAGATAAACTTGCAGATATTATTGTTGGGAAACGTGCTAGTTTTAAAAACTTTTCGAGGGATTTTAATTCATAGATCTTGATTCATTACATAGAGACAAGTTTTATGCAAAAATAAAACATGATGTACCATTCAATTAAAAGATTGAATACTTACATCAAGGTTTAAGTAAACCTTAGATCTCTCCTCTAAAGTGAATGTTTTCACTTATTGTAAATCTCTTTTGCTAGACACCTTTTCCATAGATCTCTATCTCCATCTTCTTGGTAATGGTCTTGCCTTTAGGAATCACTCATAAGCCTCCATAAATGACCTTGGAAAACTAGGCTTGTGGGAGCCTCCATTAGATGAGAACATAAACCCTAATTTTCTAGAGAAAGAAAATATTTATTCCTTTTTTTCTTTCTACTAAAAATCACCCCCTAAAATATACATACACCATGTATATTTATAGGCAACATAAAAATAAAGAAAGGAAACAACAAATCCTTCTCCATCTCTAATTCATATGTCTCAAATCTAATATGATTCCAATATCAAGTTGGGCTATGAGTGAGAATCCATTGGGCCTATTATTTTATTAGCTACAATGAATTAATAATTGGCCCGGTCCATGGACCCAATTCAATTAATTCATAAATTAATTTCTACTCCACTAAAAGAAATTAATTGAACTCCAATTAAATAATAAATAACCTCTAAGTCAATATTGCACTTTGATCCCTCTATGCATAATTAGTTATCGGATAAATATAGCCATCAATCCGACTACTTAATTAATATATTTATTTTGGTACCTTTGATTATTTCTGGCTCGATCACAATAAAACATTTGTTTGACAAAAATAATAATTTAAATAAATAAATATATAATAAATCATTTTGTCTAAAAACACACGAAGGCCTTCGAATTTACTTTGTGATCAACCATAATCAATACAAAATAAATACAAGTAGCAATGATGCAAATATTGAAAATATAACCCTCTAACTATTAATTACATAACTACCCAAAGTGTCGGTCTAAGGATCCCGAAGAATCCGTCGAACAAATCAAAGTAATTATTAATTAATAAAAGAGTCTATACTTTTCTCATGCTTAAGAGTCAAATGCCATGACGGTGATAGGGAGTAATTGCATACGAAAACTCTCGCAATATATCTCAACCTAACACGGATCCAGTTCAAGTCTTAATTAATTATGAGTCCATCCATAATTACCGACTATGAACAATTTATAATTACTATTTATATATCATGCATTGATTGTCATCACATACATATATATAAATATTTCTTGTAATTACATGGACACTATCAATTTCATAGTGAATCGAAACATAATACATTGAATTCACCAATTATATAAATCATAAATATTTCAGATATGTCAGGAACATATGTCACTATAATCCAGATAGGAATTTGCTATGCCAGGGCATATAAATCCCAACAGCTCCCACTTGCCCTCATAGCCAATTCAAATTGCACCTAACTCCAATGTTATCCAGATGATGATCAAAATTATTGATCAATGACACCTTTGATAATGGATCAACAAAGTTGTGTTCCAATGCAATGTTCTAACTACAAGTGCATTTTCTTGCCGGACAATATCATGTAGAACATGATACTTCCTCTCAGTGTATCTTGTTCCTCTATAGAATCTTGGGTCATTGGTTTGGACTACTTCTGCACTATTGTCACAACATAGCTCAATAGGCAGGCTAGTATACTCCACAACCTCTAAATCAGTGAGATCAAACTAATAGGCTTCCTTTGCCGCCTTTAAGGCTGCAATATATTTCACCTACAGGTTTGAGTTAGCAGTTGAAATCTGCTTAACAATCTACCAACTAATCTCCCTTCCATTAAGTGAACATACACTGAGTCATGAACCTCATAGTATCTACTTCTGATTGAAAATCAGAACTAGCATACCTGACTAGGACCATATCATCACATCCATAAATGAATATGATATCATTGGTTCTCCTTAGGTACTTAATGATATTTTTCACAATAGACCAGTTGTCAAGTCCAGTATTGAACTGATCTCTACTGACTATCCCTACTATGTAGCGGATGTCCTATTTGGTATAGACCATGGCATATATGAGACTCTCATATGCCGAAACATATTGTTCCAGTCTCATTTGCTCAATCTCCTTTGATAGTCTTGAAAAACTACTTACTAGAGAGAGCCATCCATATCAATAAAGCAAGAACTCATTCTTTGAGTTATGCATACCAAACCTGGTCAAAACTTTATCAATGTAGGATTATTAAGATAAGCCTATTTTCCTTTTAACCTGATCTTGCAAAAGCTTGATCCTAGAAATATAGCTTACATCTTGAAAATCCTTCATTTAAAAGTAATTGAACAACTACCTTTTTATTGATGACACAACTTTCACATCATTCTAAATGAGTAGGATGTCATCAATATATATAGAATTAGAAAAATAATGACATTCCCTTGTACACTCATGATTTATTCACTAAGAAATCTTCTAGTATCTTTTTGTAGATTAACTTGCCTTCCATAGGAATCACCCTACTAGAAAGTTCTACAAGATCTCAGAATTTATTAGAATACATCGATTCCAACTCTGATTTCATAGTAACTCACCAAAATGATCTGTATCCACATCGGTTCACGCTTCCGTGTAGCTTACTGGGTCCAACTCATGTTTAACAGGGATGTCCATAATGGTCTCACCTAAAAACATGATTCTGTCGAATTGGATGATAATCCTCCCACTACATCAATGTACCGATGCAAGAATCTGTGTAGTAGATGATGCTAACGCATCAATAGGGAATTCATATATTATTCTCAATCTCTATAATAAATGTGTTCACATGTGGTACATCTGGTACTCATACCAAATTCTCTAACATTATGCTACTAGGTATGTGATTCATAATATGATTCTCCTATAGATAAACAGTGAGTGAAAACAATTAACTTTTATCGTTGAGATCATAAAATAATCCATCCTAGTGACATTTAGAGTAGCTATCAAATCTAGCATGCCTATGATCTGCTTCCAACTTACTTGTGCATATCAAGCGCACATGTGCAAGACTATCCCATATGTGCATATGATTCAAACTAATATTTAGTAAAAAAAACATAGCTCAACGGTATCCTTGAGACAGACTAAGATGGAATGCAGTTCATAATGCGCATCGATGTCATTAACGCTAAACTCTTAAATGAAAGAGATAATGTAGCATAACTGATCATAGATCTACCCATGTTAAGTGGAATTCTGTTATTCCTATTTGACACCTAAATACATTTAGCGTCAATTGCGGAAAACTGGTACATAATACCCTCATTGACCATATAGTCTTTGCACTATCCCAAGAAATACTCATATCCTCGATCAGATCGAAGTGTCTTGACAAGTTTACCTAATATGTGTTCCACATCAGTCTTAACCTTCTCAGAAAATACCAAGAGTTTAAGACTTGTGTTGCATCAGATAAACTTATCCAAAACGTGAGTAATCTTGCTTGGATGTTCATAAGACCACACGTGTCAGTGTGTACCGACTCCAATTGTCCTTTATGTCTATTTCATCTGTCTGATTAAGCCCTAAGAGTTATCTATCCTTCAAAACAGGGTTCACAAGTTTGGTTTAGGCTCCCCTGCCTCACTAGGTAATTAACCTTCTTTGACCAATCTTTGAATCTTATTTTGATTGATAACAACCCAAAAATAGACATTAAAAATACAATGAGTCAGGAATAACAAATTTTCTCTTAACATTCAATCTAGAAGATGCAACATTAGTTTCTACATCCTGCAAATCTTAAGAGTTTGTGATTATAGTATATTAACCATCTTTCAATACACCAGAAGTAATCGCATATCTATTCAATTTTATAAAACCAGTTTTACAAAATAACAACACAGTTTTTATAAACCACAAGTGAAACAAGAATAAGATAGCGTCTAACTTCTGTGCATAAAAATAGTTCTCTAATACTAATATCCTCATACTCTCTATTTTCAGATGTAATACTCCCACTGACTTAGCTACAACCTTGACATCAGGTTAAGTACAAATATATTCCATATCATCGAGGCTTCTGGAATCCTGAAATCCTTACAATAAATTGCAAACATGTTTAGT